AAAGAAGTACTGGCTCCATTTCTCACTCAGGAAACATATGATGGGGTTGAGCAACTGTTACACACATGGACATCTGGACACACACGGCACATGCATGCTCTCATACCATGGGAAATGGAGACACCAGCCCTCACCCCCCGGTGCTGGGTACAGATATGCACAGCCACGGTGGACTCAGGAGATGGAACGGACAGAGGGAAGGCTGCGGAGCCAGAGGATGCTTACCCAGCCCTGCTAGGTGCTGGTGAGCACAACCCTGGCCCCTGAAGCCCTCAACCCCCGTCTCCGCTCCCCTGCAGCTGCCCCTGGTTCCCAGGGAGGCTCAGCAGGCCCCTGCGCTGCTCCTGGCATCCTTGGTTCCCACTTGTGGGAAGGCCAGTAGGTCTCAGAGCACAGAGCCCACACAGAGAAGAGCGCTACCCTAGGCACGCAGTGGCCACGGTGGGGGCAGGGGGGCAGCAGACCAGCACACCAGAGGAGCAGCCCTGCCTGGAGTCCTACCGTCATAAAAGAAGCGCACTCGCTCAGGAAGGGGCTCATAGGCAGGGGCGAAGCACGGGCCTCTGTGTTCCAGCTGTCTCCACTTCACTCTGTCCTTGCTCTGCTTCTCTTCCCGCCTGAAAGACAGCAGAGGGAGGGCTGGCTGCCAAGTGCTGCCCAGATGCCAGCCAGGGCCAGCTTGTGTGGGCCACTGACTCCCCCACAGGCGCACACAGTGGGCTCTGTGACCTGCACCTCACAGAGGCGAAAGACAAGGCCAGAAAGGAGAGCAGTCCAGGGCCTTTCTGCCAGGGAGTGCCACCCAGATGCGCACAAGGCAAGCTGCCGAGACAGACTGCAGCAAGCCTGGGTGGGTGGAAGGGTCCAGGGAACACTCCTCTCCAAGGCTCAGGGGCCTCTCCAGCAGGCCCCATCAGAGCTGGCCTAGAATCCTCTGGAACGTTCTACAGGGCCCCACAGACCCCTCCACATGGACGCTCATGTGGCAAGTAGAGCGTGGCTGTGCTTGGAGAACCCTTTCCTCGATGAGCCGGGAGTTGGGAGGGACACGGGTGGTGCAGCTCACAAGAAGACGGGGACACACCTATGGTCCCACAAGAGAGGGGGCGCTGGGGCAGGGGTGAGGACGGGGACAGAGGCAGGAAGCCTCTGCAGTGGGTGAGGCATGGGTGTGCTCCAGGCAAACCCGATCCTGCAGGCAATCAGACACAACCCGCCATGGGCCACACCACGTGCTAACGCTGCTGCAACTCAGCATCTGTTCATAGGGGTCTGCGGGGCCACCATCTCTGCACTAGGCCAAGCGATCCCACAGACTCCAAGGAACTGCAGGGAGGAAACAGGCCGAACGAGATCCTGAAACACCTAGAAGCCTGGAGGCAGGGATCTCTGCCACCCGAGCCCCAGCTCTGTCACTAGACGCAAGAGGAGCAGTCCCAACACAGGCAACAGCGGTACTAAGGGCAGGGCGCACCACGTGGTGGAGGTGGAAAGAGAGATGACCACTCCTCCCCAGGCATAAAGACCAGGCAGAGGCCTGGGCCTCAGAGCACGGCAGCCCTCCTGCGCTGGGCCTGGTAGCCTCATGAGTGGAGGTTTGTGGTGGTATGAGAAGGGAAGGATGTAAGCAACAGACATTCTGAAAAGGACTTTCTGTTTTTGCAGAGAAGCACTGGGGAAGGTTAGGAGGAGCAGAGGGTGATGTGAGCAGAGCTGACAGCTTCAAAGAAGCTCTTGGGATTAGCCAAGAGTAGTGGTACATGCCTATAATCCCAGCACTGAGGGAGGCTGAGGCTGGAGGATCTCAAGTTCAAATTCCATCTGGAAAACTTAATAAGACTGTCTCAAAAAAAGAGTGGGGGTTGGAGAACACCCCAGGGTTTGATCCCCATACCACACAAAAAAAAAATTGGTGGGCTTAAGAACATTCTGGGGGGCAAGGGAGGTAGCTCACGACACAGCACCTGCCTGGCAAGCGTAAGGTCCTGAGTTCCATTCCTGATACCAAAAACAAAAAAATTCTGGGGTGGTACACAGAAGCTCTTGAACAAACTGTGTGATGTGTGTGCATGCTCTGAGGGAAGAGGAAGAGGAAGGAGGTGGACAGGGCAGCCACCAGCCTGGCCCTGAAGCTGGAAGCTGCAGGCACAGGAGTCCTACCTGGAAGTGATGAATAGAACTGGCGGTAGGGCATGGGAACTATGGCAAAGCTGGCTGGGGAAATAAGCAGGACCTGTTAACTACAAGATCCCTCTCTCGGGGCTGGGGATTTCGCTCAGCGGCACAGGGCCTGCCTGGCAAGCGTGAGGTCATGAGTTCAATTCCCAGTACTGGAAAAAAAAACAACCAAAAAATGAGATCCCTCTCTTGTTTAGCCCAGGTTCACTCTGCAGAGCCAGTTTTTCCCTTACCCCTTCACCCCTCACTTTTCAAATAAACTTTTGGCACCATTTCCATTTTTGGTTTATTACGTTTAATGATTTGTTTGAGGCAAGAAAGGCCAGGATACATTTAACTGATGAGCCACTTCTAAAAGAAACTACTGATAACAGGAGCAGGGGCCCACTGAATCCAAAGATCCTCACGGGTCAGAGACGGTGCTGTTGACCTCACAGGCTCTGTGGTGTTAAACAGTTCCACCCGGGGCTGGGGATTTAGCTCAGCGGCAAAAGCGCCTGCCTGGCAAGTGCAAGGTCGTGAGTTCGGTTCCCAGTACCGGAGAAAAACCAAAAAAAAAAAACAGTTCCACCCACCTTATTCCCGCATTCCAGGGTGACACTGACAGCAGGTGCCACTAAGAATTAAACTAAGATGCTTTCTGCTAGATCCACCAAAGAGGGCCGGGGATATAGCTCAGTGGCACAAGCGCCTGCCTGGCAAGGACAAGCTCCTGAGTTCAATTCCTCGTACCAAAAAAAAAAAAAAAAATAGACCCACCAAAGAGTCATTCTGCCCCCTAAGGATGAGAAAATGCTAAAAGCATGACCTTCTGAACTGACAGTAACACTTGTCACTAAAGCCACTGGGTAGATCCTGCCTGCCCCCCATTTCCCAGACAAGGACACTGAAGTCAAGGTTAAACAAGTTGCTGGCCAACAGCTGAGCAGGGCATGGGGTACTGCATTGTGGTGACTTTCAACTGTCCCTTCAGATGGGGATACCAAGCACTGCCATCAGAAGCAAGTCCCTAACCAGGTGTCGGGCTGGGGATATAGCTCAGTGGCACAAGCGCCTGCCTGGCAAGCACAAGGTCCTGAGTTCGATTCCCAGTACCAAAAAAAAAAAAAGAAAGAAAGAAAGAAACCATATACCTAACCAGGTGTCGTGGTACACACCTGTAATCTCAGCATTCAGGAGGTTGAGGCAGAAGGACTGCTTCAAGTTTGAGACCAGCCTGGGCTACAAAGTGAGCTCAAGGCCAGCATGAACTGCATCGCGAGACCCTTTCCCAAAAAGACACATGCAAACACAAACAAGTCCCTGCCCCCTTACCACACCTGTACAACCACACCATGCCGCTCCTTCTGAAGCATCTGCCTGCACCTTTTCGGGGAAAAACATCATCTGGGATCGACACCCAGGCCAGCAGGACTGGCAGCAGGGCCCTGCCTCCTTACCCACTCCCTGAGGCCCTGAGCTCAGGCAGAGGCTGTAGTGACAGCACACCCAGACAGGGCTGTCACCATAAGGTCACCATAAGACACCACCCTCAGAGCACTAAGTGACAATCAATAAACTCCACTGGCCATCGCCAGGCTTGAGGCAACCGCCCTGGGCAGGCAGTGAGGCTGGGATTTGGAAGAGCAGCATCTCAGCCACATTCCCAGAGCCAATAATGTGCCAGCAAGCTAGAGGCCTGGAGTGTGCGCTGGACGCCTTGGCCCCAGGTCAGTGAGCGCAAGCACGGTAGGAAAATCGCTGGGAGTTGACCTGGGAACCAGAGAATCCAGAATCGAGGAGACCAGTTCTTTTTTTTCTGTGTGTGTGTGCATGTGTGTGTGTGTGTGTGTGTGTGTGTGTGTCTTTTTGAGACAGGATCTCGCTATGCAGTTCAATCTGGCCTTGATTCACTCTGTAGCCCAGGCTGATCTCGAAATCGCAACAATTCTCCTGCTTCAGCCTCCCGAGTGCTGAGATTACAGGCGTGCGCCATCACGCCCGACTAGAGACCACTTCTAAGCCAAACAAGCAGAACAGAGGCCTAGTCATAGCCACGGGGAAGTGCGGAGTGCGCAGGGCAGGGCCTGTCACTCTGGGCAGGACTGGGTTACAAGATTCTGCAAGTCACTAATATGTGGTGTGGTGCGGCTGCCGTTCAGGTTACCCGAGATTTTGGCAGGTTACCCGAGATTTTGGCAGGGGTACTAAACAGCATGTGGCCCTCCCACAGGGTAGTACCAGATTCGCATTCAGCTCTAGTCTGGCCCACGTGCCCGCCTTACCCAGCTCTGCAGGCCTTCGGCTGGGTCCCCGAGGCCCAGCGGCAGGAAGCGTTCCCGAGCCGCAAGCGCACCACCCTGCGGAAGCCCCGCAGCACGCCAGCCTTCATCGGCTCTGAGGTTTTTCTTGTAGGAAAGCAACGCTGCCGGCTCGTCCCAGCCCCGCCTACCCTTCCCCCCGGAACCCGCCCACCCCTCCCCGGAACCCACTTACACCGCTCCCCCGACCAACCCGCCAGCCCCCGCCCACTGAGAGCCCCACCCAAGCCCATCCAGGACCCACCCACCGCCAGAGTCCCGCCCCAGGGCCGGCAGGCGGCCGGTGCTCAGCACTGCCCCTCTATCCCAGCGCCTATCCAGGGCAGCGAGGGCGCCTTTCCAGGTTCAGAGGGCCCTACCTCATTACATAACTCAGGCGAGTAAGTAGCAAAACACAGCAAATGCCGGCACTTCCAGAGGACACAGAACCGGCAGATGGCAGCTGTCCAGCCCAATGCAGCCTGCTGGGGTGACTTAACAGATTGAGTACAAGTCCTGCAAAACAATCTTCGTTCACCGGCCCCTCACCCCAAGGAGACCAAAGACCGGGTACAACGGGAGACGCGTTTCCCCCGCGAGGTCTCAGGACCACCAGGCTGGCCTGGAGGCCTCCTGGGCAGCATGGCCACACTGCCAAACCTTACGCCAGCAGCGAGCTGCACCGACCAACCTCCCAGCCTCTATATGTGACTGTAACTCACAGGCTAGGAGGATACAGTGGAGACAGGGAGAAAGGGCCGGCGCGCCCTGGTAGGACCCTCCCAACTTTCACCAGCTTATTTGTTTTCCACTGACATCTAGTGGCTGGAGGCAGGAACACAGAGGCTGGGCTTCACCGGGCTGCCCTTGCTGGCCCCAGGACCCGTGCAGCCGTGGAGCCGTGGAGCCCGGTAGCTGACCCTGTTATCTCAGAATGGGCAATCCAACCGCCTCAGGGGGACACATTAGATACTGACAGCCACGCCCTCTAGGTGCTGCTGGAAAGCTGCATGCAGTGTTTTAGAATTTTTTTTTGGTTTTTTTTCCCGTACTGGGAATCAAACTCATGACCTTGCGCTTACAAGGCTGGCGCCATGCCGCTGAGCTAAATCCCCAGCCCCTGCATACGGTGTTATAAACAGTCCTTTCCGCAAAGCAGGAAGACATCCCAGCACAGGCCCATCACTGCTTCACCTCAAGACTGAGACTCCTGTGTCTCCACTTCAGGCTCCTCAGGTTTCCTAAGAGGCGTGGCCGAACAAAACCCTCTCAACTCTCCAGGCACAGAAAATACATCTGACAAAACCCAATTTCCTTGCCGGGGATATAGCTCAGCGGCGCAAGTGCCTGCCTGGCAAGCACAAGGTCCTGAGTTCGATTCCCGGTAAAAGAAAAAAAATCCTCACATGTTAAACAACAAAGGCAACACAAAAAGCCACAATCCAGGAATGGAACGACCTTCCTCCAGTCAGTCACTTAACTTCAACAAAAGCCCCACAACCATATGAAGAACTAGGTGCTTCCCCTGAGGTCCGGAATGAGATCAGGATGTTGTTCTCACGGCTGCTGCTCAATACTATGCCAAGGTCCTACCTGGAGCAAACGGCCAAGCACAGGAGAGAAAAGGATCCAGGTGAGACAGGAAGACCTAAGTTGTCTCTGCCTATAGATAGCGTAGTCCCCTGTGTTTAGGAAATACCAAAGAATCTACAAAAAATTAACAGAACTAATAAAATAAATTCAGCCAAATTACAGGGTACGAGAGCAATATATGAACATCTGTTCTGTTTCTTTACACCAGCCATGAACGATGCAAAAGATCCGAACAAACACTTCTTCAAAGACAATATCTAAATGCCCAATAATTCCATGAACCGATGATTGACGCCATCAGCCATTAGGGTAAGGTAAATCAAACCCACAACAATATTGCTTTGCACCAGGATACCTGCAGTTCAAGTGCTGGGGTGGGGGTTGGAGGTAAGGGGACCCCAGCTGGGCATGGCCAGAGCAAAGAAATCAGTCCAGAAGCCATTTTCCTATAAGGGTCTGCCTGCATTCCCAGGTCTAGGCCACCTTTGTGCCCTCCTCCTCCTCACCAGACCAGCAGGGGGTACCCAGGGGTGGGCAGTCAGGTTGTCACAGCAAGTAAGAGGAGCCTGTTTTGCAAGGAGACAGGCTTGGGAGATGTAATCATTTTCTGCTTTTTTTTTTCTTTTTTTGGTACCGGGAATCGAACTCAGGACCTTGTGTTTGCCAGGTAGGCGCTTATGCCACTGAGCTATATCCCCAGCCCCTCCTTTTTT